CCCCCCCAGCCCCCCTGCATCTTGCCCCCAAGCGCCCAAGCCAGTCCCGCAGCAGCGACCCCGCCCCTCAGCTCTCTCCCGCGCACGCGCGCAGCCGCCGCCCCGCCTCTTCTCCCAGCCCGGCCGTCGCCGTGTCCGCAGGCGTGAGCTGGGCGGGGCCAGGGAGGACGCGCCGGCTCTGCGTCTGCGCCCGCTCCTCAAGGAACCGCGCGGACGCTACGCGCATGCGCGAGGCAGGAACCGCCCGCCGCCCGTCTGGCCGTGGAGCCCACGTGACCGGCGGCTAAACCCGGGCGCTACCTTATTAGGGCAGGTCTTGGGTGAAGAGGGTGGAGGAGGCGCTCAGTGGCAAAGCGCCTTCCCCAGCTGTCGATCCTGTAAAGCGGTCCTGTCCTGCCTTGACTAAGAAGTCAGAAATAGAAGTGCTTCTCACTGATCCGATGTCACTTACGGTTAAGAAGGATGCAGCGTCACCTGGAATTCACCCACTGTCATTTCAGTGTCAGGTACGGCCACTCATTCCTAAGCTGTGTTTTTTGAGAGCCTGCTATGTACCAGGCACCATTCTAGGGTCTGCGAATACAGCGCTGATTAAAACTGACAGATACAGAAAGGTGGACGTCATTTTTCCTGATTGAGCCTCAGGAGAACAATATATGCAAAAGTGCTTAGCGCCATGGCGAGGCCCTGCGTAAAAATAAGCAGTCTGATTTGTAAAACGCGGGTGCTGGGCTCCAGGGGCTTCTGCCCACGTAGCACTCCGAGTTCGAGTTAAGAGAGCAGTATTCCTCCTGGGTACGGAAGGAAGCCTTGTACACACCTGGGCTAACTTGCTGCCTGCTGGCAAAGAAGCAAGCACAGGTAAAAGAGACCCACACACCTGTGGGGTAGCTACAGGGCTCTCAGCCTTGGCTACGCCTTAGAATCACCTGGGAGCATCCAAAAACTGCAGCCATCCTGGGGTGCCATCTCGGGGCTCCATCCCCAGAGAAATTAAATCTCTGGAGATGGGGCCTGGAACTGATATTTTCTTAAAGATCTTCAGGTGATGCCAACGTGCACAGCCACGGATACAGAGCGAATCAAATGATTCCTTGAGAGCAAGGAGCTATGTTTTAATAATTTATAAGAATTCTTAAGATTTATCTAACCCCTTCCCAGAGAATTTCAGGCCCTTTTAAAGCATTTATTAATTCATCTGGCAGCAAAGGGTTTGTGAATGAATTTTTCCTGATCTCACCACCAGAATCAGGACTGGGACTAGTTTGGGATTGGGCTTGACTCTGTTCTCTCTCAGTCCTGCAAAGCTATAGAGTAGGTGGTGTCTTTTCTCCATCTCCACCTTAGCTGTTTCCTGAGGACTGGTTTCCAAGACGACCAATCTACAGTTATCCTTCTGATGCCTCTCCCGAGATTAACAAACCGTTCGCCTAGACCCTACTTCTACCTCCTTTCCGGAGGGAAAGATGCCCCTCCCACTTTTGTCAATGTCTTTTTCTTTCCTCCTTTGCGCCAGATCACTACTTTTTAAAAATCATTCCATTTCTCTTGGTTCCAAAGGAAACAATTAGGGCTCAGGAGAAAAAAATTAGAGCCATAAGAATTGGAAAAGAAGGTAAAACTATTTCTGTTTGCAGATGGTATATGATAGCATGCTTGGAAAACCCAGGAAAATCAAGTCTTACACTCATACTAACAATATGAGAATTCAGTATAGGAGCATGATATAAAATTAACATACAAAAAATTGCCTTCATTTGTATTTACAATAACAAACTAGAAGATATAATGGACCCCAATTACAATAACAACAAAAGAAAAAGCACTTAGGAATAAACTTTATTACACAAAAACCCACATGAGGAAAATTGTAATACCTTCCAGAAGATACAAAAGTAGACTTGAACAAATGTATAAACATCATTTTTTTTTTTTTTTTTTT